GGGCAGGAACCCGGTAGAGGGACCCGGGACAGAGACCTCTGAGAGCCCCGGGAGAGGGACCCTCGAGACAGGAGCGGAGAACCCCGGGACAGGGACCGCGGAACAGGGACCCAGGACAGAGATCACCGGGAGAGGAACCCGGGACAGGGATCCCAGAGACCCCCGGGTCAGGGACCCCCGGGAGAGGAACCTGCAACGGAGATCACCTGGAGAGGGACCCCAGAGACCCTCGGGACAGAGACTCCCGGGAAAGAGACCCAAGAGACCCCCGGGACAGGGACCCTGTGACGCCTGGGAGACTCCCGAGTCCATCCAGAGACCCCCACTGGGACAGAGACCCCAAGACCCCAGAGATCCTCGGCACAGAGACCCCCTGAGACCATTCAGAGACCCCCTCACAATGGGATAGAGACCCCCGAGACCCCCCCTGGACACCCTCTGGACACCCCCGAGCCAGACGCCCCAGAGAGACCCCAGAGCTGGAGACCCCTCCGGGAACCCCCAAAATCCAGAGGCTGCCGAGATGGCCCCGGCCCAAAGACCCCCTGAGCCAGCGACCCCCCCCCCCCAACAACAGAGGGACACCCCAGAGCCCCCGGGGTCTGAGGCACCAGGGACACCCCCAGAACCAGAAACCCCGAAACAGAGACCCCCGAGCTGCAGAGGCCTCCTCAGCCCTGGAACCCCAAAACCAGAGACCCTCCCCAGACCTGAACCACCTCCAGCCCCAAGACCCCCAAATCAGAGGTTCCCAGCCCAGAAACCCCCAAACCCAGCCCCGAAGTGCCAGGACCCCCAAAACCCTGAATCGCTAATCCACGACCCCCAAACCTCAGACCCCGAAGTGCCAAGACCCCCCCAGACCCTGGATCCTCAATCCAGGACCCCCCAAACCCCAGATCCCCAATCCAGGACCCCCAAAACCCTGAATCCCTAATTCAGGATTCCTCAAACCCCAGACCCCGAAGTGCCCCAATCCAGGACCATCCAAACCCCAGACCGCCAATTCCAGAACCCCCAAACCCCGGATCCCCAATTCCAGACCCCCCAAAACCCCAGACTCAGAGTGCCAGGACACCCCAAACCCCAGATCCCCCATCCAGGACCCCCCTAACAGCCAGATCGCCAATTCCAGACCCCCCCCCCAGACCCTGGATCCCCAATCCAGGACCCCCACAAAACCCCAGACCGCCAATTCCAGACCCCTCAAAACCCCAGACCCGAAGTGCCAGGACCCTCAAACCCCGAATCCCCAATCCTGAACCCCCCAAACCCCAAATCTCCAATCCTGGACCCCCTAAACCCCAGATCCCGAATCCAGGACTTCCCAAATGCCGGACCCTGAAGTGCCAGGAGCCCCCAAACCCCGGATCCCCAGTCCACGATCCCCCCAAAACCTCAAATCCCCAATTCCAGGCCCCCCAAACCCCGAATCCCCAATCCAGGACCCCCCAAAACCCCAAATCCCCAATCCAGGACCTCCCCAAACCTCACACCCAGAGTGCCAAGACCCCTCAAAGCCTGGATCCCCAAACACCAGATCCTAAATCCAGGACCCCCAAAAGCCCTGAACTCCCAATCTCGGAGCCCCCCAAACCCCAGACCCTGAAGTGCCAGGACCCCCCAAACCCCAAATCTCCAATCCACGATTCCCCCAAAACCCTGGATCCGCAATTCCGGACCCCTCCCAAACCCCGAATCCCCAATCCAGGACCCCCCCAAATCCCAAATCCCCAATTCCAGACCCCCCCAAAAATCCCTGAATCCCCAATCCCAGACCTCCCCAAACCCCAAATCCCCAATTCCAGACCCCCCAAAACCCCAAACCCCAAAGTGCCAGAACCCCCCCAGACCCTGTATCCCCAATCCAGGACCCCCAAAACCCCAAATCTCCAATTCCAGAGCCCCCAAACCCCTGAACCCCCAATCTCGGAGCGCCCCAGGCCCCCCCAGACGAGAGAGGACAAAGGGGACAGGACCCAACGTTAATGACCCCAGAGCCAGCCCGACCCCTCGTCATTAATATCATTAATATTCATTAATATTCTAATTAGCCCAGGTGCACCTGTTATTGGCGGCCGCAGCCCGGTTCTGCAGGGCTCATTTGCATACGCGCTGCCGTGATTATGAATATTTAATCCGAATCGTTAAATACCTACAGCTAGTTAAATGCCGGGCTCATTTGCATACATTTGCATAGCGCGAATGGTTTTTGCGTACGGGGAGAGGAAAACAGCTCGGGTGGGGGGGCGGATTTTAATTAACAAAGACTCAGAGGGGGGGATAGGGGGGTATGGAGGGAGGGGCACTCCTAAATGGGTCTGGGGTCCCTATATGGGTCTGGGGGACTGGGGAGGGGAGTAGAGGGGTTCCTAAATAGGTCTGGGGATCTTTAAATGGGTCTGGGGGGTCCCTAAAAGGGTATGGGGGTCCCTAGGTGGGGTCTGGGGGTTCCTAGGAGGGGTCTGGGGTCCCTAAATGGGACTGGAGGGTCTTTAAATGGGTCTGGGGTCCCTAAATGGATCTGGGGGTCCCTAAACGGGTCTAGGCGACTGGGGAGGGGTCTGCGGGTACCTAAAGGGGTCTGGGGGACTGGGAAGGGGAGGAGAGGGGTCCCTAAATGGGTCTGGGATTCCTAAATACGTCTGGGGGTCTTTAAATGGGTCTGGGGTCCCTAAATGGGTCTGGGGGACTGGGCAGGGGGGGAGATGGATCTCTAAATGGGTCTGGGGGTACCTAAAAGGGTCTGGGGGTCCCTAAATAAGTTTGGGGGTCCCTAAATTTGGTCTGGGGTTCCTAATTGGGTCTGGGGGACTGGGAGGAGGGGGAGAGGGGTCCCTAAATGGGTCTGGGGGCCATAAATGGGTCTGGGGTTCCTAAACAAGTGTGGGGGTCCTTAAATGGGTCTGAGGGTCCCCAAATGGGTCTGGGGGGGTCTTTAAATGGGTCTGGGGGTCTCTAAGCTGGGTCTGGGGTCCCCAGGCGGCGTCTGAGCTCAGCTCGGGGTCCCACGGCCGCCCCCTCCCCCTTTAATGATAAATCCGATTTGTTTCCATTTCTGCGCCTTGTGAGGGTGAGGAACATTACCCCTCATGAATTATTCATGAGCACACCCCACGGCCAGCAGGCTTATTTGCATATTCATGCCGCAGCTGCTGCATTATTCATGAGCGGGAGGAAAAGGCGAAATTCGAGTCCTGACAGTGGGGGCGGAATGAGGGGAGAAAAATCCCCCCCAAAAATGGGAATTTGGGGCTTTTAGGGGCATTTTCCAATCTAAGGGGGCTCTTAATCATACATGAATTATTTATATATACTAATACTAATACTAATACTAATACTAATACTAATACTAATATTGGTGTGATACACAGTATATATATTTTTGTACTGTACATTCTCTTACTTTATCAGGATTTAATTAATATTTTAATATATTTTACTATTATGCTATATGTTGTGCATTTATATAGAAATTATTGCCATATATTCATGTTATACAATTTAACATAACATAACATTATTATGTTATATAATATAATATATATAATATAATACAATATAATATAACATAACACAACATAACATAATATAATATAATATTGTAATATTTTTATAGCTGTTATATACATTATATATATTTTTGTACTATATATTCTCTCATTTTATCAGGATTCAGTGAATATATTTAATATATTATACTATTGTGCTATATATTGGGCATTTTTATATATATTTACTGGCATATATTAATATACTATATATATATATATTGTTATATAATATATATAAGATATAGAATATATAAATATACATTTATATTCACAAATATATAATATATACATATTAAATAAATTATATTAAAAATTACATAAATATATATTATCTATATTTATATTGTATAATACATATCTTTATATATTATATTATGGGAATTTGAAACTTTCGGGGGCATTTCACAACCTAAGGGGGCTCTTTAATGATACAGAGATTTATGGATTATTTTATAGAGCTTTATATGGGTGTGATACACATGATATTAATTTTATGTGCTATATATTCTCCTATTTATTTATATTTTATAGATGATATGCATGTTTACATATAATAAATTTATATATTATATATTTAAATATATAAATCTAAAATAAAGAATATAAAATCTATAAAATCTATTTTATATTTTATACAATATATTATATGTTACTTATTTTTATATACATATATTTATATATTATGCATTACAATATTTCTCTCTCTTAATGCATAATTATGATTTTTGTACTAATATATTATTACAATAATTAATATAATGTTTTATTCATTAATCCTTATTAATATGTATTCCTATATATGATACCCTACACCATTATAATAAATTTTTAATGTGGGTTTGGGACAGGTGAGATTTATGTATAATTCTAGTATGAATTACATATCTCTAAAGGTTTTATAGGTATTTTATAAATAGGTTTTTATAGGTAGTTTATAGGTATAATACTTAGGCATTTTATAAATACTTTATCAATACTTATTTTAACTGTACTTTATTTATTTTAACTGTACTTTATATTAAATTCTAATGTTATATTATGTTATTTATATTAAATTTTTATCCTTATCAATGCACAAATATAAATCTCTGTCATTTTATCCCAGTATTTCCTGTTATTCTCGATATTTGAAATCGATTTCATTTTTAAAAGAGAATTTCCAGAACCTCTTTAAGGCCCCAGACCCCGTTTAGGGACCCCTCCCCTTCAGCCCCTCCCCCCCGCCGTGACCCCGCCCCCTTTGGGACCCTCCCTCATTCCCTCCCCGACTTTTCCCGCGGTCCCTTTAAGATCGCGTGGCCCCGCCCCGAACGCGATGACGTCACGACGTCCGCTTCCTGTCCTGCTTCCTGCCCCGTCCCTCACCCTCCCCCACGGGCCGCCCCCGCCTCCTCCTCCTCCTCCTCCTCCTCGCTCCCCGCCGTGCCCGCGGGAGCCGCCGCCGCCATGAACGGCAAAGGCAAGGCCGGCCGGGCCCTCGGTGCCCTCAGCGGAGCCGCCAGGCCCGGCCGGGAGCGCCGCCCGGGGCCGCGGCGCCTTTAAGGGCGCGTGAGGGGCGGGGTCGTGCGGTCTGAGGGGGCGTGGCCAGGGTTGCCATAGAGACGCGTGCTCAGCCTCGCTTTGAGCCGGGAGGCGGGGCTGGGGGAGAAACCATGGGGAGGGGGCGGGGGGGGGGTGTGAGACCCTGGGGGAGATACCATGGAAGGGGGCACAGGGGGGAGATGTGAGGCTTTGGGAGGAGATACCATGGGGGGGGGGCTAATGAGGGGTGTGAGGCGCTGGGGGGAAATACTATGGGGTGGACGTGGAGGGGTGTGAGGCTTGAGGGGGGAGATACCATGGGGAGGGGGCAAAGGGGAGGTGTGAGACCCTGGGGCGAGATACCATGGGAGGGGGCACAGGGGGGTGTGAGGATTTGGGGGGGGGCACGGGGGTGTGTGAGGGTTTTTGGAATTGTGGGGGAGATACCATGGTGGGGGGGAGGGGGCTGTCTGAGGATTTGTGGGGAGTTTCCTTGGGAGGGGGCGCGGGGGGGCTGAGGATTTTGGGGGGGAGATACCATGGGGGGGGGTGATGGGGGGATGTGAGGATTTGGGGGGGAAATACCACGGGAGAGGGAGGAGGGGGGTGTGAGGCCTGAGGGGGTGATACCATAGGGGAGGCGTGGGGGGGGATGCCTGAGGCTTTGCGGGGGGAGGGGGTGCCAGCATTGGGGGGACACTGAGGCCGGGCTGATGCCGCGGGGGAGCTGCCTGGGGGGGCACAGGGTGGGCAGCGGTGGGGCTGAAGCCCAGGGGTGGGCACAGTGCACGGGGGCGATGCCCAGGGGGGCACAGGGTGGGCAGTGATGGCACCGATGCCCTCAGGGGATCACAGGGCCCGGGGCCGATCCCTTTTCCTGTCAGGGCAGTTCTGGGCTCAGCCCCAGCCCCAGCCCTCACTCCCGGCTCTCCTGACCCGTTCCTGTCCCCCCAGGGCCGTTCCCAGCCCAGCCCCTGTTCCCGGCCCCCCCCGGGTACCCCCCAGCTCTGCCCCTGCTGCAGCCGCCGCCCTGCCCTGAGCCCGCCTACCCTGAGGTACGTGGGACACACGGGACACATGCATGGGACACACGGGACACACGGGACACTCACATGGGACACATGGGACACACACACAGGACACACACACGGGACACATGGGACACACACACAGGACACACGGGACACATGGGACACACACACGGGACACACACATGGGACACATGGGACACACACATGGGACACATGGGACACATGGGACACACACACGGGACACACACATGGGACACATGGGACACACACATGGGACACATGGGACGCAGGGACACACACACGATACACACGGGACACACACATGGGACACATGGGACACATGGGATGCACACACGGGACATGTGGGACATGTGAGATGCACCGGACATGTGGGACACATGGGACACACATGGGACACACGGGACACGTGGGACACACCAGACATGTGGGACACGTGGCACCCATGGCACACATGGCACACATGGGATAGATAATATCAGGACACATGGGACACCTGTCTGGGGGGGTGACACCTGTCTGTGGGGTGACACCTGTGTGCGTGGGTGTGACACCTGTCTGAGGGTATGACACCTGTCTGGCTGGGTGACACCTGTCTGGGTAGGGGTGACACCTGTATGGGTGGGTGCACATCTGGGTGAGGGGGGTGACACCTGTATGGGTGAGGTGACACCTGTCTGAGGGGGTGACACCTGTCTGGGTATGGCTGACATCTGTCTGGGGGGGTGACACCTGTCTGGGGGGTATGACACCTGTCTGGGTGGGTGACGCCTGTTTGGGGGGGGGGGTGACACCTGTCTGGGTATGGCTGACATCTGTCTGGGGGGGTGACACCTGTCTGGGTATGGGTGACACCTGTGTGCCCTCGCTGTTTTTGCAGCTCTACCGCCTCAGCTTTGTCCCCCTGGGCGCCGCTGGTGTCCCTCCCGTGTCCCCAGCGTGCCCGGGTGCGTCCCTGTACCTGCCCCTGGCCCCGCCCCTGCCCCTGGGCTCCCCCGTGGCCTTCCTGCCCCTGGGCCAGGTGTACCCGGCAGGACCCGCCCTGCTGCTGGAGGGGGGCGTGGGCAGCACGGCCAGGCTGGGCACAGGTGGCACCGCCGGCATCCAGGTGAGGGCAGGGGCAGCTGGGGGGTTTGGGGATTTGGGGCAGAAAGTTTGGGGCAGGTGGGAAGGGTTGGGACAGGTGGCACTGCCAGGATCCAGGTGATACCAGGTGGGTCTGGGGGGTTGGAGATGGGGTGGGAAATCTTGGGGTGATACTGGCAGCATCCAGGTGATACCAGGTGGATCTGTGGGATTTGGGACAGGTGGGAAGGTTTGGGACAGGTGGCACTGCCGGCATCCCAGGGAGTGTAGGTGGATCTGTGAGGTTTGGGACAGGTGGGGAGGTTTGGGACAGGTGGCACTGCCAGCATCCAGGTGAGGGCAGGTGGATCTGTGGGATTTGGGATGGGGTGGGAAATTTTGGGGTGGCACTGGCACTATCCAGGTGAGTGCAGGTGGGTCTGTGGGTTTGGGACAGGTGGGATTGTCAGGATCCAGGTGAGTGCAGGTGGATCTGTCGGGTTTGGGACAGGTGGGAAGGATTAGGGCAGGTGGGATTGTCAGGATCCAGGTGAGTGCAGGTGGATCTGTCGGGTTTGGGACAGGTGGGAAGGATTAGGGCAGGTGGGAGGGTTTGGGACAGGTGGGACTGCCAGGATCCAGGTGAGTGCAGGTGGATCTGTGGGGTTTGGGGATTTGGGTGGGGAGGGACCAGAAGATCGCCTGGCCCTGGCCAAGGTGAGTCCCAGCCCCATCCAGGTGGCTTTGGGCACTTCCAGGTGGGGTTTGGGATCACGGGTGGCCCTGGGGGGAGCAGGGCAAGGGGGGCCTTGGGCTGCTGACCTCACCTGACCTCACCTGACCCCACCTGACCTCACCTGACCTCACCTGACCCCACACCTGGGCCTGGCACTTCCTGTGGGCTGGGGGAGGCTCCTGCTCACCTGGCCCTGCTCACCTGGGCCCCCCTCGGTTCCCCTCTCCCGCAGCCTCAGAGGTTCCTGCTCCCCTGGAATTCCCACCTGGAGCCTGGGAACAGGTGACAGTGTGTCCCAGGTGACAGCACAGGTGACACTGTGTCCCAATGTGGCAGCAGAGGTGACAGGTGTCCAGGCCAGGTGCCGCAGTCCTCAGGGGTGGCTCAGGGCTGTGTCCCAGCCCTGTCACTGTCCCTCAGTGGGGTTGGGGACATCGCTGTGTGCCCAGAGCGCGCCCGGGGTGTGACACTGTCCCCTATCGTGACAGTGGCCTCGTGTCCCTCCTGTCACACAGCCCTGTCCCTGCTCTGGTCATGATGCTGACCTTGGCTGTCCCCCTGTCATGACAGTGACCCATCTCCTATCACGACAGTGGTCCGTCCCCTATCACGATAGTGACCCATCTCCTGTCATGACAGTGACCTGTCCCTTGTTGTGACAGTGACCTTGGCTGTCACCCTGTCATGACAGTGACCTCAGTGACCTGTCCCCTATCGCAACAGTGATCTGTCCGTATGTCGTGACAATGACCCATCCCCTAGCACAACAGTGACCCGTCCCCATGTCGTGACAGTGACCTGTCTCCTATCATGACAGTGACCCATCCCATGTCATGACAGTGACCCGTCCCCATGTCACGACAGTGACCTGTCCCCTGTGGTGACAGTGACTCCTCCCCTATCGCAACAATGACCCCGTTCCCTGTCACGACAGGACCCATCCGCTATCGCGACAGTGATCTGTCCCCTATCACAACAGTGACTCCTCCCCTATCGCGACAGTGACCCATCCCCTGTCATTCCCCTATCATGAGAGTGACCCATCCCCTATCGCAATAGCCCGTTCCCTGTCACGACAGTTAGCCCTCCCCTATCGCGACAGTGACCCCTCCCCTATCGCGACACTGACCCATCCCCTGTTGTGACAGTGACCCGTCCCCTATCGCGACACTGACCCGTCGCTGTTTCCTTGCAGCCGCCGCCCGCCGGGTGCCCCCCGGTTGCCGCCCCGGTGCCGGTGCCGCCCGGAGCCGCCGTCCTGCTGCCCCCGCGCAAGGGGCGCGTCCCGGGGGGAAACGGGGGCGGCTTCGGCCTCTGGTGAGGGGGGCCCGGGGCTGGGGTCCCCCCTGACCCTTTGGGGTCCCCCCCGTCAGCCCCTCCCCCCCCGGTACCTGCCTGGGGACCCCAAAGGTGGGACGGACCCCACCCCCCCCCCCCACAGGTGACACGAGGGGGTGACAACGGGGAGGGGTTTGGTCACTTGGGGGGCTCATTCACAAATGAGGGTGAGCTCAGCCCCTCCCCTTCCTCATTTATATGCCGCTCTAATTAATTAATGGCCTAATTAAGGCCTGGAGAGGAGTTTCCCCTTCTACACCCGCTCATCCCTCTGCTAGAGCCATCCGGGGTTCTCTTCTTTTTGGGAAAGGTGGGTTTGGGGTAGGAAACAGAAAATATCTCCTCTCCAGAGACAAAATTCTCTTCCCAGAAGCAAAATCTCCTCCCCAGAGGCAAAATCCCTTTCCCAGAGCCAAAAATCTCATCCTCAGAGGCAAAATTCCTTTCCCAGAGGCAAGATCTCCTCCTTAGAGGCAAAATTCCTTTTCCAGAGGCAAAACCTGAGCCCCTCCTGGCCTCTCCCGAGGTTCCCCCTCACCCTCTCCCACCTTTTCCTCCAGGAACTCTGTCCTGGCATTTCTTTGAACCCCCTCCCAATAATTTTGGATTTTTTGCACTTCAACTCCAATCAAAGCCATGAGCGGTGCCAGGGCCGCGCTGCCGCTCCCGTGGGATCCTCCCACTTCCAGCTAGAGCCGGGTTTAATTAATGCTTAATTAGCAAACGCTTGGTTTTAACTCGAACCTGGTCTTTTATCACCCGAATTCCTTAAATCCGAGAGGCTGTTTGCATCTGTGCCGGGATGGGAACGCCCAAATCCCTTGGGTTCCCTCTTTAGGGTCGGGATGGTTTGGGGATTATCAATGGGGTTATCAATGAGGTGTAAATTGGTGGTTTATGGAGGAATTGTTGTGAATGGGATGTTTGTAAATGGATTTTTATGAATGGGGCGGTTGTAAATGGATTTTTATGAATGGAGTGGTTGTAGGTGGGTTTTATGAATGGGGTATTTGTGAATGGGTTTATCAATGGGTTTATCAATGCATTGATAACCAAACCTCCACAAGCTTGGGAGGAGCTCTTCAGGGATCCTCAATCGGGTGTTTTTCTTCCTTTTGGTTATTACTTGATGAAGAAAGAGCTCAGATTCGCTTTTATTTTATCTTAAATATTTCACTTTAATCCGAATCTGTGTTCTGTGTGTGTGTGACCACCCCTGACTGTTCCCGAGCTCGGCTCTCGGACTCTCTGTGCTGCACTGAACTTGTGGATTTTTATACTAAAAACCAAAAATAAAATAAAGATTATTTTGAAAATTTAAGTGAAGTGACAAATTTCTGTTGGGCCTCTGAGAACCCCTTTGGCTGCTGCCAGCTGGGGTTTCCTCACTTCTTTCCTTTTTCCTGCTGTGTTGGGAACTTCCTCTTAATATTTTTTTAGGGAGTATTTGGGGTTTTTCCTGCTCTCGGCACCCACATATTCCTTCCAGGGCTGGCTTCATAAATTAAGGAAGAAAAAAAAACACAAACCAAAAAAAATCAGTCTGTAGATCCTCAGCTTTAGGCAGAAGCCCAGCTCCAGGGAATTTAGGAAGATCAGAAACTCCAGGGGATTCAGGCAGATCCCAACTCCAGGATATTTAGGCAGAACCTCAGCCCCAGGGAATTCAGGCAGGTTTCTAATTTAGGTGGATCCCCAAATCCAGGGAATTTAGGGAGAGCCCCAAAGCCAGGAAATGCAGGTAGAGCCCCAGGGAATTTAGGGAGATCACAAGCTCCATGAGATTCAGGCAGATCCCAGCTCCAGGATATTTAGACAGAACTCCTACCTCAGGGAATTTAGGCAGGTTTTCAATTTAGGTGGATCCCCAAATCCAAGGAATTTAGGCAGAGCCCCAAAGCCAGGAAATGCAGGTAAAGCCCCTAAATCCCTCCAGGGAATTGAGGCAGATCCCACTTAGGAAGATCCCCAACCTCCAAAACATTTCAGCAGATCCTCAGCTCTGGGATATTTCAGTGCATCCCCAACTCCAGGAAGTTTGAGTAGATCCCTGATTCCAGGGAATTCAGGTAGCATCCTAACTCCTGAAAATTCATAGAGGTCTCCGTCTCCAGGGAATTTTCGTAAAGCACAAGCTCCAGGATATTTAGGCAGAACCCCAGGGGATTTAGGCAGGTTTCCAATTTAGGTGGATCCCCAAATCCAGGGAATTTAGGCAGAACCCCGAAGCCAGGAAATGCAGGTAGAGCCACAAATCCAGGGGATTGAGGCAGATCCCACTTAGGAAGATCCCCAACCTCCAAAATATTTCAGCAGATCCTCAGCTCTGGGATATTTCAGTGGATTCCCAACTCCAGGAAACTTGAGCAGCTCCCTGATGCCAGGGAATTCAGGTAGCATCCTAACTCCTGAAAATTCACATAGGCCTCCATCTCCAGGGAATTTAGAGAGATCACAAGTTCCATGAGATTCAGGCAGATCCCAGCTCCAGGATATTTAGGCAGAACCTCAGCCCCAGGGGATTTAGGCAGTTTCTAATTTAAATGGATCCTCAAATCCAGGGAATTTAGGCAGAGCCCCAAAGCCAGGAAATGCAGGTAGAGCCCCAAATCCAGGGGATGTAGGCAGATCCCACTTAGGAAGATCCTCCACCTCCAAAAAATTTCGGCAGATCCTGAGCTCTGGGATATTTCAGTGCATCCCCAACTCCAGGAAATTTGGGCAGATCCCCAATGCCAGAGAATTCAGGTAATATCCTAACTCCTGAAAATTCACGTAGACCCACAGCTCCAGGGAATTTAGGCAGAACCCCAACCCCAGGGAATTTAGGCAGGTTTCCAATTTAGGTGGATCCCCAAATCCAGGGAATTTAGGCAGAACCCCAAAGTCAGGAAATGCAGGTAGAGCCCCAGCTCCAGGGGATTGAGGCAGATCCCACTTCTCCAAAAAATGTCAGCATATCCTCAGCTCTGGGATATTTCAGTGCATTCCCAACTCCAGGAAATTTGGGCAGATTCCTGATGTCAGGGAATTCAGGTAATATCCTAACTCCTGAAAATTCACATAGGCTTCAATCTCCAGGGAATTTCGGGATCTGTGTGGATCCCAGACCTGTCCTTAGATGAAATATTCCTCCTTGTCCTTGGCCGGAGGCTCCTCCCTCGGGGTGGTGTCGGGCTCGGGCTGCTCGTAGGTGAGGTAGGAGCCCTGGTTCCGGTACAGGTAAATCCCAGTCACCACCAGCACGGTCAGCAGGGTCAGGAACACCAGGGTGATCACCACTGCAGGGCAAGCAGGTGTGACAGGTGAATTGGAATAATTACCAATATTGCCAGATGGGATGTGCCTGAGCTTGTCTGGCCCTGGGTGCTGAACCAAACAGAGGGAACTGTGGTGATTTCACCCCAGAGACACCTTTGGCCGGCGGGGTGTGTGGTGTGTTGCAGACATCTTTTATGAAAAATCCTTTCTTTAGGATTTTTTCCTCTTGAGAAGCTGAGAGGCTTCAAGAACAAAATGTAAACAATGATTATCTGCTGCTGTGGAATGCAACAGGTGGATCTGTGATTCGTCTCATGTGGTTGTTTCTAATTAATGGCCAATCACAGTGAGCTGGCTCAGACCCTGTCTGAGCCACAAACCTTTGTTATCACACTTTTGTATTCTATTCTTAGCCAGCCTTCTGATGAAATCCTTTCTTCTATTCTTTTAGTATAGTTTTAGTGTAATATATATCATAAAACAATAAATCAAGCCT